AAATGAGGCACATGGGATCCTGGGAGACAAAAAGATTCTCAAGACTTATGCAGGCGACTTGGAAAATTAACTAAAGGAACAATTTCCAGGTTTTCTGCTGCCATGTATATTCTGTCACAGAATTGCTCTGCCCGAATATGGGTCTTTGGTCAAGGTTCTCACCTCCTCTTTCACAGTTGTTCTATTTTTCAAAAGAAAGGCATTTGCTCCATCCTGGACCATCCCAATTTTCTTCATAGAACTGTCCTGGGGGGCCCAGACAAAGCCAGTGCAAAATGTTGAGAAGACTTACCAGCTCCCCAGCCATTCCTGGATCAGGAGTGTTCAACTTTTTGCATTTATCACAATTCAAGGAAGACTTACCAGCTGATGGATCATTCAAAATAATCCTTGATGCTAAATTACTATATTGTCCTTGGTGTATGTTTTGATTTATCTGGGCTGCTATAATAAAATACCTCAGACTGGGTGATTTATAAACAACATCAATTTACTGATCATGGTCTGAGGGTGGGAAGTGCGAGATCAAGGCTCCCGCAGACTTGATGCCTGGTGAGGGCTCACTGCGTCATAGAGGTGCCTTTTTTCTGTGTCCTCACATGGTAGAAGGAAAGCTCAAATAAGCTCTCTCAGGCCTCTTCCACAAGAACACTAACCCTACTCCTGAGGACTCAATCCTCATGACCTGGGCATCCCCTAGATGCCATCCCTCAAATGCCAACACATCGGAGGTGGTTAGGTTTCAACAGAAGAGTTTTGAGGGGGACACAAGGAGTCAGACAGTGGCATATTACTCAAGAGATGTTAAAAGAACTGAGTAACATTTGTGTAACACATATTTTTCCATTCACAACTTCTTATGTTTGTGGAATAAGTTTTATTAGGATCTATAACTTTAGAAATAAAACTGGAAATAAGATTGTTGCTGAACCTACTTTATTCTGTAGGAAGGATTATTGATCTTGGGCTAAATGAACATGTTGAGAAATTCATTCCCCTACAGCTATATTTCCAAGAAATTTTTACTTTTAACATTTAATATTTACTCATCAAGATTTAAATTTGTTTGTTTTTGATGAATTATGTACTGATGCATTTTGTTTTTCCCTAGCAATGAAAATAGTAATTTTCTTACTAAATCTTGGTGAGAATTAAGTGACTTGATGTGGGCAGCATTCTTAGCAGAGGGCTCTGTGTATAATTAGTGTCAGTTTCTCTTCCATTCCCCCAAGGCCATCATGATTCCTCCTTCCTCTCTCAATCACCCTTCCTCCACTCCTTCACATATATCTGAAGTTAGGCTCTTCTACATTCCTTATTAAATACACTTGATTTACATGCAGAAGGTCCCAAAGTATCTCCTGTAAGTTTACTTACCCAACAAATTTATGTTGAGCACTAATATTCCAGGCACTATGGTGGCAGTGGGGATACATCCATAAATTAAACAAGATAAAATCCCTACTGTCATACAGTTTCTGTGGCAACTAAGTGCATGGTCATGGGAATGTGCTGTCTGCTCTCACTCAGTACTGCAGTATCTTTTCACTGTCTTTGGCTAGTGGGAAACCAGTTAGATTTCTGCAGATTGGTCCATCCATCCATCCACCCATCAACACATCTATCCATCCATCCATCCAACCATCCACCCACCCACCCACCCATCCATCCATCTACCTGTCTGTCCATCCACTTATCCATCCATCCATCCAATCTACCCATCCATCTATCCATCCATTTACCCATCCATACATCCATACTTCTATCATCCACCCATCCATACATCTGTCTATCCATCCATCCACCCATCCATCCATCCATCCATCCATCCACCCACCCATCCATCCACTCATCCATCCTCCATACATCCATCCTCCATACATCCATCCATACATCCACCCACCCATCCACCCATCCATCCACCCATTTGCCCATCCACACATCCATCCATCCACCCATCCATCCACCCATCCATACATCCATCCATACATCCACCCATCCATACATCTATCTAGCCAATTAAAATGCATCAAAATTACTCCCAAATGTTCAGACCATAATCAGGCATTCCCCCTCTGGAAGGTGACTACAGCAACAATAACTTTGAATAAAATCCTCCTCTGTGCAATCTTTATTACAATATATGTGGAGATTAATTTTATCATACATCTATTTTGGATTAGAATATGAGTAATCTGTGATTTTCTTTCATTTTTGACTCTGTTTCATATTTGTTTACAATAGCAAATACTGCTTGAATGATTCCAGCCAAATTGTGTTTTCCTTCCCAAACAATAATTTGTTTTATTGAGACTTGCTTCTAGAATGCCACTTAAAAGAATTTAAAATTGTGGATTTAGGGACAGGAATAAAGATCTGGATCTGGATATTCAAAGTGATTTTGTTTTGCTTGACTTTGAAACTGTCATCATGGAATGTTGTTCTACCACTTACTTAGAAAACTAGACTCCCATAAACACAGCGTTGAATTATCCAGAAACTTAAAAATAGCTGGTAGTATCCAACACTCTCGGTTTCCTTCTCTCTAGGAGGACAGGTCTTTACAAGAAGCCAAAGTTTTTTCTGAGACGCATTTTAATTCTTTGAGCCCAAGAGATCTTCGATCAAGGTAAAGAGTTCTTTCAGTCTTCAGTTAAAAATACCTTTTCTCTCTTATTATTGAGACAAAATTCACGTAAAAGTCATGATTTTAACTCTTTACAAGTTTACAATTCAGTGGCCTTTAGGATATCCCTAATGTTGTGCAACCATAACCACTATTTAGTTCTAGAATGTTTCCATCATCCCCCAAAGGAACTTTGTAACTCCTGATTCTTTCCTCTCTCCATCCCCGACAACTACTAATCTATTTTCTGCTTCTGTGAATTTGCCTACTCTGGACATTTCATATACATTGGGATCATAAAATAGATGACTCTTTCATTTGGCAACTTTCGAGATTTGTCTGTGTTGTGCCCATATTAGTACTTCATTTCTTTCTATGGCTGAATAATATTCCATTGTATGAATACACAGCGTTTTGCTTATCCAGTCATCAGCTGGTGGACATTCGGGCTGTTTTTACTTTCTGGCTGTTATGAATCATGCTGCCATGAATATTCATGTACACGTTTATGTGTGAACATGTGTTTACAGTTCCCGTGGGCATATTACCTGGAGTGAAACTGTTGGATAATACACTAACTAAAAATGTTGACTTTTTGAGGAACTGCCAAAATATTTCCCCAGCAGTTATACCATGTTATCTAAAAATATTTTTAAAACATTTTAATATAATTTTTTACAATTATACATATGTATAAATTTTTATAATATTTTATATGTATTTTGTGTATGTGTGTAAAATGTGTATTTTATACTAGAAGTTTCTTTTCCTAGCTTCATAGAGTAAAAAAAGGAAATCACTTAAGGGATTTTTAACATTGATGTTTGAGGGAAAAAACGAACTAAATAGAAGAAAATTACACTTAGCAAACAGAAGCCATTATTTTATATAATTTTTATATGTATATATTTATAGCATATACATAAAATCTTTCCTTTTATCAAAAATATATTCATAATATGTAAAGGATGGAGAATTTTTATTTCTAAGGATAGAAACTGATATTCAATTTAGCACTAAAGAAAGATCAGGTCAAAACACCAGTAGAAAACATTTTCATTACTATGAATAATCAAAGTAATTATTTTCAACATTATAATTCATACTGTGGTTTAAGAGATATATTTATATGTGATATGCACAGACTTTAACCCAGGACACAGAACCTCACTAGTCAGCAAGAATCTCCTGGAAAGGGGAGAAGACTGGCAGAATTTTTTTTTTTTTAAGTTAGGAGACTTGCCTGTGACGGTCGCTTGCGCACACGGCATTGATGAGGTGTGTCTTCAGATGGACAAAGCCCTTGGCCACAGGTCTCTGGTGAGTATCTTCAGCAGGATCGACCTGCTTGTATTTAATAATTTATCCCCAGTGTTGGTTCAAAGGTTATCTGAATGCTTTATGTGTCAAAAAGCCAAACCATTCCAGAAAGCTGTGGACTCTGCCTGACATTCTGTGATTCACTCGTGTTATTAAATACCAACCCGCACTACTCTCCCTGAGATGCACGTGCCCAGTTACCTAGTGGGAAACTGCACACCAAAGGCCCCAGGTTCTGTCTCTCCTACTCACTAGGTTTGAATAGCAAAGCCTGATATGCCCAGAGCTTCGGGGTCCCCCTGACTAGCAGGGTTGGGACAAGTGACTTCATGAATACAGGTTAACAAGCCCCAAAGACGTCCACGTTTTCATCTCTGGAGATGACATCACCTGAAGCTCTGTCCACAGCGAGATGATGAATGTGGAGGCTCCTTGACAAACATGAACCCTAGAAAACGTGTGCTAATGTCAGTGGTTTCTTGATTGTGTCTCTCACGTGTTTATCATAATAAAGTTACACCCAGTTGGAAGCTGCCTCACTGATAAGGCCCTGGCCTAACTGACTTTTCTCTAACTATACCGTACCATTTCCCTTCCCCTCCGAGTCCCGTTAACTTTCTCTCCGTCCTCCCTCCTAGTTGGTCCCACTGAATGGGATCTGGGCCACCCTGGTTTCAGCTGTGTCCCTGAACAGAGCTGTCTCCCTCCCTCTCCTCTGTAGTTTTCATTCCAAGTTTCATCTGCCTTTACTCATCTCACCTTCACCGTGTCCCCACACTTCCCAGCATGATCCGGACCACACTAAAGGGGTTCGATACTACTTCTTAGCTAACTGAGACGAGGAAAGGTAATGATGACGAGAGAGGAAAGCATTTATCTTGTCACTGATGACAAATGTCCTTCCTGGTAGCCACAGCCTGTTAAAAAGAGAAAGAAGCTTTCTGGATTAATTCTTTTGTTTGTTTGCTTTTAAATTGGTTTCTCACAAAAAGGGACACTTCCATGTAATCTCTGTTTTTGTTTTTCTGTAGGTCACTTACCCTTGTTATTTTTTCTGTACAGCATGTATATGGGGTAAGTACATCGTAGCTCTGATCACATGTTGAAAATTCATTTTATTGAATGCAGGTAAAAATAAACCACGTCCATAATCACCAAAAGCATGTGTGTGTGCACACAGATACTGCTACATGCACGCCTATGTGCTTAGTATCTGTGTGTGATCATTGTGTGAATTATGCTTATTAATGTAAAAATATAAATTAAGAAAAAAGAGCCTCTGTGGGAGGGACGTTGGGGCCAGGGTTGGCAGAGAAAATTTCTTTCACCTATCATACTCTTTTGCATTATTTGAAATTACAAAAAAAAAAAATCTATTTACATTATTTGTTTTTCCAAAAAGAAAATGTCAGCACCAATATAGGACAGATTATTCATATCCTAGAAATTAAGGGCTTCTTCTCTTGAACTTTCTATGTGGCAAATATTTGCTTGAAAATATTGGAGATAACCAGGTAGTGACTTTCCCTTCTCTTTGCAGAAGAGTAACATGAGTTTTTGAGAGTCTAAGTGGACACCCAGCAAATGTGGTTCATCCTGTGAATGTCTAGTTGCCTGAGATACTGTCTTTATCTTTTTCAATGGGTTCAGTCTGTCTTTGAGGTGCTGGCTTTTCCTTTATGAATTCACCTTCCGCTTTTCATGTTTTTGGGGGGAATGCTTATGTAGAACTTTGTACAGGCTAAAATCATCTCTTGCTTTCCCCTTTTTACTGGCTTGGGTAAAAGCTTTATATGTGACTATTATGGCTTCTTTAGTAGAATCTGCTAATTTGCTTTAAACAGATGCTTCCCTGAAATGTAAATTTGCTGCAGACATCTCTGTGATGCTCGGCAAAAACAAATAAAAAACAAAAAATAGATCACCCAAACTTGCCCTGTTATCAAGTCATCTAATCAGCTGACCCGCTTTTCCCTCTGGTTGCTTTGATGTTTCAGTGAACACACAGTAACGAAGCCCAACCCTAAATGAACCCAAGAATTCAGGCTGGTCCCTGGAAGTGTTTTCATGCTGTCCTGACCTGGCCCCAGGCAATGAATTTTTTTTAACCTTATCAGGGTTTTGAACTTAATATTTCTGTATTTATAGATAACAATGTTACTCAGAAATCAAGAGGTGTATATTTATGAAACTGCAAATACATTTTTTTT